GAGTAGGAGCAAATCTAAGAAATTTTCAGCACTTAAGTCTAAAAATCCTCTCTAAGAAGTTTTATAAATACGGGCCCAGGTCTGTAAGCAGCTGGATGAAGGTGTCAGCTGGTCACCTGCAGCAGACAGTACCCACAGCGCCGCAGCCGAGGGGTCGACGACTCAGAAATCATCGCTTCCATTTCTTCATCCGAACCCTGAGCGCCCTGCAGAACACAAACAGGTGACGGTCATCCAGATCCTTCACACGACTCTGACCTTTCACCTGAAACGCTGTCAGACTGAACGTGAGTGTTTATTTCAAACAAAAGCAGCTTTAATTCACTGAGGACGAGATTGTGGTGCTGAAAAAAATAAAAACACATTTCTCTCCACTCTTGGAAGCTGCAGAGTTTAGCTTCTGTGACTTTTCAAACCGGAGCTTACCGTGTCAGAGAGAACAAACCCAGGGTCCATTAACGACACGGTGAAGTACAACAGCACCGAGAGCAGGACCAGCAGGAAGAACAGAGCCGGCAGCAGCAGCTCTCCTCGCTCCTCACAGCGACGTAAATCTGCAACACATGAGGTTAGTCAGCGCAGAAACAAGAGTACGGCCATTTCCCTAAACAGCCTCTTTATAACAAGACTTCCTACAAATATTTACTGTGTCAGGCAGATTAGAGGTTTGAGGGGTCAAGGCGAGGCACGGTGGTGGTAGCATCATGCTGTGGTACTGATGTTTTGCTCAAAGAGGACGGATCAATGAAGAAGCAGAACCTTCAAATTATGAAACTTCCCCACAAATCAACAACTGGATGGACTAATTTAATTTATTTAAATATTTTAATGACATGATACTATTTTTATTTGAAATTGAAAGTACAGAGTAAGCATCTATCTATAACTTTGATTTATAGTAAATTCATTTTAAAACACTGTTATTTAAAGCTTTGACTTATTTATCTATTTGCTGACAACGAAATAATTAAATTAAGTCTTATATTTCAGGAGCTCCTAGTAAAAAAAAAAAGATGTTAACATTGTAAAATTATTTAGGGCTGCATGATTTCCTCTGAAACACTTCAAAATGACCTCACCGGTGTTGTGCAGGAACAGAACCACAGTTACCACCCAGGTTAACAAAGTGTGAGCGGTTCGGACCAGAAAACCCGTCCGGAACACGTTCTGCACCATCTTATTGACACGACCAGGTCACGTAAATAAAACGAGTACACACATAGAGATTTTAACAGTTAGAACAACGATGTAGAAGTCCCTTTTTAGAGCTAATTTTATGAGCTACACGTTAGCGAGAAGCGTTTAGCCGCTACTTCCGTGTTTTGGTACGGTGGCCTCCGTAGGACAAACCGCGAACTGAAATATAGTCAGAATTTGGTTAAATTAACAAAAATCCTATTTTTATGTTCGTGTTTGTGTTAAATAAAGTATACATTTATCTTTTAAATAAAGTTTTATGTAATTTAACAGAATTTTATTTGATTTTCATCTAGTTGGAAGTTGATAATTAGAAGAAATTAGAATTTATAAAATTGTACCTTTAATTGGACTTTAACTTGAATATGACATCACAGAAGTGAAATTTTGAATTAAGTGGACTGAATGTCGTTGGATATACAGTAAATCTGATTTTAATTAACTGAATTTATTAGTATTGGAACTGAACTTGAATGATTTGTATGTAACTGTGTGAATGTGTTTGAATGACTGTGGTCTGAAGCACTTTTGAGTCTTTGGACTTGAGAAAACTATAAACAAGTTCTGTTATTTTACCATAAAACAGTCATCAAACACAATTAACGGTGGTTGCCTTTATCTGACTTGTGAAACTTCAATAAAGCTGATTCCTCTTTATTCTGAATAACGCATATTTTTCCTACGTGGTCCAGATGCAAAACTACACCTAAACTCTTCAAATATGCACTAGATTATTTTGTTCTTATAGCAGAATATTTAACAATTAAAGAAATGAGAGTAGACAAAGTTAAAAGTGGAAATTGCAGCAAATATTGCAAATTTGGGAGGATGAGTTTAATTCTAGTGGTCCGGATGCATAAAAAGTGATGAAAACAGTCTTTATTGAAGTTTCACTAATCAAATAAAGGTTTCACAAATCTCAAACTTGGTTTTAAAAATTCTGCATTCAGTATAGAATAATCTAGTACAGGTTTGAAGAGTCTGAGTATTTTAGTTTTTAAACTAGAGCCGATTAAAGATGTAAGATAGAGAAAAATTAGGTGGAACCGCCCTTCAAATTAGAAACCAACTTCAGCTTCGTGTTTCCTCAAACTTCTCCTGTTTCAGATGACATCACACAAATCAGATAAACTTTGAACATTTCCAAGTAAGTTATTTATTAATTCAAAACGACAAACACATAAAAGGTAAATATTTCTGTGTAAGACATAAAATTTACTCAGAAATACTCACTGTTTTCATCTCACAATGGTTGATTTATTAGAAGTTGATAAAGTTTAATCAGTTCTTTATTTTTCTCCGTACGGCACCAGTTTTCAAAAAGTTCTTGATGCTTCTTGGAAACAGCTGATTAGTTTAAAGGACAAGAAAATGAATTCTCAGAAGGTCTGTTCACAGTTGGAGTGAATCTGTTCCGACTCAACAACAGGACACGTTGACACCTGTGTCTCACAGGTAAAGAAAAGCTGCCATAAATTTATTTACAACCCAGAAGTCTTTGTTTTTATGGCACACGTCTGAAAACAAGGCCCCGCAGTCAAAAATACTCAAAATAAAGTCATTGTTTTTTWWKRAAAKTTWWTTTTWAAATGGTGTCATTCAGAAAAKYGAGTAAAGAAACTCTTCTCTATGAATTATCATGATTTTTATACAACATTGGTTTATTTAGATTTTAGTTAGTGGGCAGTAAATGTTTTCTTTTTTACACTGCACCTTTTTTTCTCCACTGTTATGCTGACGACTTTCTGATTTATTTACCATGAAGCTCAGAGGCAGCGACCTCTTCCCTCGACTGTGTCGCTGACATTAAACAGTGGCTCGACCCAAACTTTCTGTTTTTAAATGAAGAAAAGATGGAGAGTCTGTTTCAGTGACATCGCTGCTGATAACTTTGGTGCTCTCTTCTTTTAGTTGCATCTTTTAGGCAAAGTCAGACTTCTATATTTAAAAAAGGCAGTTCAAGCTTTTATCATCTCTGTAAAGCTCATCATGTTGGAATTTCCCAGTACTGGTTTTATTTAATCACCATCTCCTTTTTTTTTTTTTTTTTGGTTGTTGTAAAGAGATATACAAACAAAGTTGATTGAATGAGTAAATAATCTGATTATAAACCTAAATAAACACATATTTACCATCACTAATAAGAACTAAGACTTTTAAATACTTACAGGATTCTTTAGGATAGTTTTCTCGCTTGATAAATCTAAACTGTGGGCTATAAATACGTGAATGTCTGTTAGTGTAAAGCGCTTTGGGGGTCCGGAGGGACTTGAAAAGCGCTCTATAAGTTCAGTACCATTTACCATTTACCATATAAAGATGTGCTGCTCTCTTTTTCTTAGTAATTATTAAAAACATGTTCGTCTGCTGATTTATTTTAAAGCTCCTGTGACGTGTAAGTCCTGTAAATACAAAAAGTTAAAGACTACAACTTTATATTTAAGAAACTTGACATAATACGTGAGTTTACCAATTTTGTTACAAAACTAAAATATTGTATTTTGAACTCAAAGTGAAACAGGAAGTGACATCACAGGGGAACTCTAAAAAAAGAAAACTCCCAGGTCTTTGTTTATTGAAACATTGTTTAAACTCCGACTCATCTCTCTGATCGTTACTGAAAATAATCTAAAGAAACATCAGATTCTTCTCTACAGTCTGTGTTGTTATAGCAACGCTCTGTTTACATGCTGACATTGACGTCACTTCCTGTAACGTCACTTTTAAATATCTCAGCTGTTCATCTCAGCAATGTGATTTTTTTACAATGTTGTCAGTGTTATTGTTCCAAAAAGGCATTTTTTTTTTTACAAAAATTTGATGCCACAGGCACTTTAATACCTAAAAAAATCGTTTATAAATATTTTTTGCAAATAGGGGCAGATAAGACTTTCTTCTGCTACCTTTCATTTTATTTGATTTTTATTGTTTTGTTATATGTAATTGTGTTTTGTTTTTTAATTAAATAGTTAATAAAAATACCTAAAAAGTGGCAAATATCAGCTGATTAATCAGCCTAGCTTAAAAACAAATTACCAAAAACTTAAGAGGAACCTGTTCTGTGCACAGTACAACTTAGAAAAAGAAAAAAAAACTTAAACTGGAATTTTTATATTATAAAAAATAAAAGAATAAATCTTCTGAAGACACCCAGAAAACTACAAAAAAATTAAAAGGGTCGTTTAAGACTTTTGCACAGCGCTTTTCATTATTTCAGAATAAAAGTACAAAAATTGTTAAGTTAGAATGAAAACAAACAGGATCATTAAATAAAAACGGAGTTTCAAAGGGGGATTTTGGCAAAAAACTTTAAAAAGTAGCCTCATAATAAAAACACGGTTAAATTTCAGCTTCAGCAGAAATCTGATTCAGAAGCCACACGTTTGTCTCATGAATAATCAGCTGATGAGTAAAAAATAAAAAACAAATCGAACTGTTCCAGAGACGTCCGACAGCTGAGGTGTGCTGTAATCTGACTTCAACAGGCAAAAAGACACAAAAACACTGATTATTTATTGAATGTGCTTTTATTTTGCATTGAAATGGTCCGTTAAAATAATACTATAAAACTCTTCACAACAACAGCGTTCAGCATTGATAAGTCATTTAGAAGCCCTTCTAGCGCTGATTAAAGTGCATTTATCCTCCTCAAACGTGTGCTTTTCTGTCATTTTCCCTTTCAACCTGAGGTGAACTTTAAAGACCTTTAAAATAAAAAAGGCCATCTAAACACAAACTTTAGTTTAACATTTTAACACAACTGCATTTAGTGTTCGACAGATATTAAGGCGACAGTCCCACACCCTGAAGAAAAACCACTTATTCTCTCAAAGAAAAATAAATACAGGATGGGTGTAAATAAATAAAGAGTCACTTGTTAACTGGGACGGGGAGGAGAGAAACCAAACTGTTGTGCAAAGACTTCTCGTCTGGGCATGAAAAAGTCATTTCTTTCCAAGAGGCAGGACTATTTTAAAAATAAGCTTATTTATGCTACACGGCGCACGTTTCCAGTGTCACAACAACAAACATTTGGTCCTTTATTTATTCAGTTGTACAGACACTCGAGCGACTCCTCGTAAAAACGTTCATAGCAGCAGATTATCCCGACGACCTGAGCTCACAGAGACCACGTCCTCCTCTGCGGAGTTACGTCGGCCGACATTCACAGAATGAGACGTCCACTCGAACCCCCGAAGATTCCTCCACACGAGGGCGTCAGCGCGACGTGACGCCCAGCTGGGCCTTCAGGTGCTCGTACACCACGTAGCTGATGCTGACGGCCGGGATGACTTTGAGGAAGTTGGGGGCCAGGCCTCTGTAGAGCCCCGAGGGGCCCTCGTTCTGCAGGATCTGCCTGAACAGTCCGGTCATGGAGACCTGCTGGTTGCTCTCGGTCACAGCTGGAGAAACGAGGCGACGTTAGTTCTCTGCTTCGTTTTGTTTGGAGTTTTACGTGAAAGGGATCCATGATTAGTTGTAACGTTAGACTTTGTTTAATAAACATTTATTTTAAGTAAAATAAAAACTGTAAAAATACTGTCATTTTTAATCATTTTTTAACTAAAAGTTTAAAAATATTACACGGACAGGGCCATTTTATTTACACACAAAGCATTCTGGGTAAATGATGACCTGGATAGGTCCTCGGTGCGAGGCTGCTAGCGAGCTATATCCACCCTGAAGGTTAATCTTGGACAATATCTGATGATCGACTCTTTTAAATGAAACCAGAGAGCGTTGACAGAGAGGAGAAGGTAGAAATGACTCAGCCTGGAACTGAAAATATGGATGGAGGACAACAGAGCTGCTTCATGGAAGAAGAACCTCAGCTTAGCCTGTTAGCTTTAGCGTTAGCCCCAATGTTATCACCAAATATACGCATTAGCTCAGCGCTACACATTCTCCTCTCGTCACTGAGGTCCTCCATCCACATGACAGAGAGGGGAACACAAAAATGACTCAGCTGTAACTGAAAATATAAATGGAGGACCTCAGTTTAGCTTGTTTGTCGCGCTAGCACCGAGCTAATACATATAAGGTAATATAGTGTTGGGGCTAACGCTAAAGCTAACAGGCTAAACAGAGGTTCTCTCTGTCAACGCTCTCTGGTTTCATTTAAAAGAGTYGATCATCAGATATTGTCCAAGATTAACCTTCAGGGTGGATATAGCTCGCTAGCAGCCTCGCACCGAGGACCTATCCAGGTCATCATTTACCCAGAATGCTTTGTGTGTAAATAAAATGGCTCCGTCCATGTTAAAATATATTTTTAAAAATTTACAAAACTTAAGATCCTACAGTATTTTTACAGTTAAAATAAATGTTTATTAAATAAAGTCTAATGTTACAACTAATCGTGGATCCCGTTAAACGCAGGTGGAGGACTCACCTTGCGCCTGCATGCGGGTTCGGATCAGAGCCAGAGGGTAGCTGGCGAGCTGGCCGCAGGTGCTGGACACGGTGCCGCAGGCCAGCAGGACCAGCACCCCGGCGTCCGAGCTGTTGGTGCCGTACTGCTGCAGGTAGTTGTTCTTCAGCGTCTGCCGGGGGCAAAAAAAAAAAAAAACCCAGTCAGATTTTCAACGCGGTGGATATAATCTGGATTATTTTTGTTTGTTTTCGAAGCTCCAGCTCACCTCGTACACGGCCAGGTCGATGCCGGCGTACGGGATGATTCCCAGCATGTTGGGGACGTAGCCTTTATAAAAGGCCCTGAGCCCCTCCCTCCTGAAGATCTGCTTGGCGCAGTCAGAGATGCCGGTGTACTGACCGCTCCTTCTCAGCGCCAGGCGAGTTTTCAGCACCTGGGGTCGGATTAAGACGCGTTAACTCAGAACTCTAAACTCATTTAGAGAGGAGGGGGATCTATATCAGGAGATAATCACCTCCATGGGGTAGATGGTGCTCTGGGCCATCACTCCTGCCAAAGAACCGGCGACAAATCTCTCCAAGATGCTCAGAGTCTCCTTGTCGCTGCGGATCAGACACTTAATCTGGAAAAACATAAGCAGATTAGTTAGATAATGGCACCAGGAAGTCTTCTGGTTTTTCACCGTAGGAGAATCACTTCCTGTACCTGCTCGTAAGCCATGAACTTGAGGGCGGACTCCGGCGCGATTTTGATGATGTTGACGCCGTTTCCTCTCCACAGGGACCTGGTCCCGCCTTCTTTGATCATCTGCATGAGTCCGCTCATGATGCACATGTTGTTGGTTCGGGTTCCGTAAACCTGAAAACAGATAAAAATTAAAAAACGGTTACCAGGCGTTAAGTTTTGGGGGTTAAACAGGAAGTGGGTCAAGATCATTCTGACACGAAATCCAACTGGGTCAAGGTTTGACTGTTGGCGAGAACACAACTTCACGTCAGAGCGGTCAAAGTCTCGCCTCATTCTGACGCAAATCCAGACCCTGACTCTGGACTGGGACGTTAATCCCAGCGGTGACGGTAAATACTGCCAGGGTGTCGCTATTGGTCGACAACCCGAACACGGACTCTGCTCTCGGGGCTCTTACACATCATCCGTTAATCGTTAACTTATTTATTGCAGCGAGGATTGCAAACTTCAAAACCGAGTTACCCAACTGAATAACTGTTCTGTTGTGAAAGACTAAAGATAACGAGGAGAACTCCAATTGTGTCACAGCCACGACAGGGTTCCTACTGTTTAAAGCAAGTTGAATTTAATACTTTTTAATGCCAAGTGAAATCAAATTTAAAGACCAATTTCACAATTAACACAAATAACAAAAAATTTAATCTGTGGCAGAAACTCATGAATCAAAGTATTTGTGGTTGAATTATTCAAATATTGCTTATAGACCAATTGTTTTTATCCATATCTAACTGTTATTTTGTCAAATACAGCTAAAAAAAACAAAACAAACATTCTTAGCAGTCAGTTTTAAACTTAATTTAATTCCTGAAAATCTTCTAACCCAAAATGTGGAGTTTGAGGACCCACAGTGGGGTCTCAACCATAGCTTGCTGCAGATGAAACCTTTAAGTGTTTGTGATGTAAAATGTTTGTAGGAAATATGAACGCATTTTTGGAAAGACAACATTATAAACATTACAAAACAAATGTCACATCGCTCAGATGAATGGTTGTTGAGATATTTGCATGTGAAATAACAGGATGTCAAAAGGGAATGTTTAAATGTAAATAATTCAAAAATAAATAAATGTTACCAATTTTAATATTTGATGCGAATTACAGTCATCCTACTTACAATGTGTTAACATTTTTAAGACTTCTGAAGATTAATTTAAGACCGTTTAAGGCAGGGCTGTCCAAACATTTTGTCACATGGGCCAAAATCGTAAAGTCAGAAGGACTCGAGGGCCAAAAATATATTTTTCCTTTACCTGCTCAACAATAAACTAAGCATTGAATACTTTTGTCGTGGCAAGTTTATCAAGAATGCAGAAACACGTTGGAATAAATGCACAGAAAATCTGCGTGTATGGTCGTGAATTATTTAATTCTGGGCAACAACAAACAGACAACAAATCAAGGAAGTCTGTTGAGTTGTGGCCCAGAATTAAATAATTCACGACCATACACGCAGATTTTCTGTGCGTTTATTCCAACGTGTTTCTGCATTCTTGATAAACTTGCCACGACAGTTTATTGGCGTTGTTGGCAGGATCTTGTTCTGACTTTAATCATTCTGTCTGCAGATGAACAGCATGTCATGAAAACCTAGGTCATTAAAGGATGTCATGAATAACTAGCTTAAACGTAAAAGTATTAGTTCCACCACAACTTTAAACAAATAAAGTAGTCAGATTTATTGCTGGAAATCAATGCATAAATTAATCTAGATCCAGAACTTTAAAAGCATTTTGCAGGATTCCCTTACTGAAAGAAATTTTGCAATTTTCTAGGTTTCAATTGGGGGGGGAAATGACCCAATTTAGTCAATTCTGATCAATAAAAATCAGGATTTAGGTCATTCTTTTGTTGAAAATGCTTGCTGTATTCCGATGAATTTAATAAATTAATTTAAAGCAGATTGGAGTGCAGTAAAATCAACTTTTGAGCAGAAGTCAATAGATAGATGTGGAAAAACCTACGAGTTTGGTTATTTAAAGACATAATTTGTTTTGTTGCCAATATTTTTATTATAAGATTTTACTTTGTGATAAATTTGCCCTAATAATAAATAGAAAGTCTCCGTCTACATCTAACACCTGTGCCGGGGGGACAAATTTGTAAACAAATTAGGATAATTCTTGAACTGAAGTCAGGGGCCACACTTTAGACATCCCTGGTATGAATTTAAGGCCTTTTAAGACTTTTTAAGGATCCGCAGGAACCCTGTATGATCTGATGAGATGTTCTACCACTCATCAGGGAGTAAAAATGCCTTTTTTTCGCCCTCCAGTCAAACACATGCTCTCATCTCACCTGCATCATGACTTTGAGTCGGTCCAGCGGCGCCGTGCAGGTCCTGGACACGGCCCCGGCTCCTCCGCCTGCGACCAGGTGCCTCCACCACATCCCGGTCTGCTTCTCCTCAACGGTGAACTCGTCGGGGACCAACAAGTTCTCGCCGATGTCAAATATCTGCACACAAACAAAAACAAAAAAGGGACAAAGTTAAGTTTGTTTTCTCAGAAACTCGTTTGTTTTCACACGCCGCCTGTAACCAGTTTTAAATGATTGTTGTGGAAAATAACAGTTCCGAGGCGGATCGTTCCGGAACAGGAAGTGAGCATGACCCAAAACTCCTGAAGTGTAGACGGTAAACACAAAACAGAGGAGATAAGAGGAGGTTCTGGTTCTATCAGTCATGTTTTATTTGGGTTTAGAGTCTTCGGCTGTGAAAGGATAATAAATCACACCAAACTTGGGACTATCCTCGCCTAACATCTGACTTTTCAAAATGCTCCGGTTACATTACTAACTCAATGTTCTTGGCCTCCTGCGAGGGTCAGCCCCGGCTCTGTTCTCGGCTCCGGTTCAGAGCTCCGTTGAGTCTGCAGGACCGGCGCCGAAAATAACCCAGGAGACGAGCAGCAGGTCTGCGCCGGTCCTGCTGGCCTGGTTTTACATCACAGCCTCGACAAATCAGAAAATCCTTCGGGGCGTAATCCCTCCGGAACCGGCCCCGGTACTTTTCATAGTCTAATGGAGCTTAATTAATGACGCACGACCCGGGTCAACCCTTTAAAGGACTTCCTAATTGTTCCAGACATGACGACTGAGCCTTTTGCTTTCAGTTTGAGTGAGAACAGGATTTACCGCACAGAGATGGGACGTCTAAAAATATATTACATAACACGTAAAGTGAAGTTAAACGGATCTTTTAACTCGTTAAATTTGAGCATTTTGCTGTCCTTGCTGCAGAGAGGAGCACTAACCGTGGAGTGTTTCCAGTACAGGATGATCTCAGGAATGGTCTCCGTCTTCTCCACCACCTGGTATTTGCTCCAGTCTTTACTGCTGATGGTTATCATTCCGTTCTTATCCGCACTTTAAAAAGATAAAAAAGAAAAAACGTTAAAAATAAACAAATAATGAAACGAGCAAAGAAATCTGTAAAAACTGGATGAGAAACGTTACCTCTGCAGGGCTTTCTCTGCGTGCTGCAGGGAAATGTGAACGCCGAGGTCATGAAGGGACTGGATGAACTCTTTAGGATCGACTCGACCTTCAGGAGAACAAAAAGTGTTTTTGGTTAAAGCCGAACTAACGACTAAATAAAAATAAAAAATAAAAAAACCTCCTCTGCGCCCCCTTACCTGCGTTCTTCTTGTCCAGACTCTTCACCACCAGCTTCAGGTCTTTCTCGTAGTCTTGTAGATAATGAACAAACTCCTCGAAGTCCAGCTGACAGTCTGCATTGTTTTCTCCCCCTTTTAAGGTTTTCTGCAATAAATTTAACAAAACGTGGTTACATTTTTGCACATTTATATCTGTTAGAATTAAAATACAGTCAACATTTTTATGGCTTTTAAAAGCAGAAAAACAGTTTCATAACATTTTGGCAGTCATGTGATAGTGCAGCTAATTTGCTTATGAAACAAGTACAGTCAGATCAAAATGTCCTGCATGTCAGGCCAATGATAAGTCATGAAACATAAGATTAAAAAAAAGAAACCCCTCAGCTTGTGTTTTATGACCCTTAAAGTTTTTTTCCTGCCTGACTCCGGTGGTATTAGTACACATCCCCTATCTTTAACTCCTGCAGAGGCTGACCTGCCAACCCTTTTAATCTGGTCTGGCTTCAAACCTGCGGGCTTAAAACAGGGACGGTGTAAACTGGCCGTGCTCCAGGTCCCCGCACAGGACCTGACACCGGACCCCCACAGCCTCATGACTGTCACAGATACTCTGCAGGAACATTTCTAACAACCTCTGCAGCTTGTGCAAAGAAAACTCGTTATGGGGGGTTATGGGGTGTGTTTTCCACCAACACTTTGTTTATTTTTTAATAGTCATAAAGGAGTAAAAAACTAATAATTTGAGAGGCTAAAAGAATGTTTAAATAAAACTTTTACCTCCACAAGACTTCATTTAAGCTATAAATCTGCATTTTTAAACAAATGCACTCAGTGTAAATTGTATATTCAGATTATAACTTTAATAAATTAGTTAAAAAAATTATTAGGCAGTAGTTAATGACCAACAATAGACATCTGAAGCTTTAATTAAGAATAGTCTTGTGCAAAGAATGGCATTTTTAGGTTAATTAGCAATCTTGAGTGCAAGAATTTTAGTGAAAGTTTTAAAATATTTGCCATTTTTACATGCACTCAGCACGAAGTTTCGTTTGCATAACAGGAAAGTTGAAAACAGCCAGAAACCGGGTGAAATTCTCTTTAAAATTATGCTTTTTTGGGTCTTTGTTTCTCAGAAACTTCCATCTTTTTCCTCCCCGGAAGCAGCATGGCTGAAATTCCTTTTTAGGGCGGATTGTCTGTGTGACCTGAATGACCCACCGGTTCATTTTAATTTAATTAAAAACTAATATCCAACTTTAAAAATCACATCAAGTACGAGTACAAAATATCTAAAGGCAGAGTTTAATAGTTAAAGTTTTAAACGGGACGTCACGAATGTTCTGGCTCTGCGGCCTACAAGACATTAAATCCGCCACTTCCGGCCGCCAAAATGAAACTTTAACGTTCAAATATGGCTTTAATTAAACCGTAGCTATACTAAAACACGCGTATTGTTGTTTTTAATATAAAAAAAGCAAAGTTTGTGTTCTTACTTGTCGCCATTTTTGGTAGGTTGAAAACTCCTGAGACGGCAGGAACACGCTGAGCTTGTTGAAGAGGGACTTCAGCTCCGAAGGCAGTCCGTTTGACTCGAAGTACTCCACCTCGACTGGGTCCGAGTTGGACACGGGCACGTACAGGCACAGACCGAGCATGTTCGCTTCCGATTAACTTTAAAGAAACTACAATAAATAAATATAACACACCGCGGTGTCAGGCCTGCCCGGGACAATGATGAAATGCCGGTAAGCCAACGCCAGCCGGCTTCTAAAGAATGTCACGAGGCTCCTCCTCTTCCAAGAATTTGTACGTCATTTTACTACTGACCAATCAGAGACTACGTCCATTGAAGGCCCGCTACGGGCTCGCCCAAGTCTGGTACAAAAGGACAAATGAGTGCAAACCCTGACCAATCAAGTGTCTTGTTTCATCCAGCACGCCAGCGAGTCAAAAATTGACCAATCACATGTCGTTTTACTTCTTCTACGACTGCTGCTTGTGGCTGGTGCTACAAATACATGAAGAACCTCTCTATATTATTAAATAAATATATCCAGTATGTATGTATGT